GGCCAATCACCAGGAGACGGTGAGTTCTAGTCCCGCCTTAGGCATGAAAGCCAACTGGGTGACTTTGGGCCAATCACCAGGAGACGGTGAGTTCTAGTCCCGCTTTAAGCATGAAAGCCAACTGGGTGACTTTGGGCCAATCATCAGGAGACGGGGAGTTCTAGTCCCGCCTTAGGCATGAAAGCCAACTGGGTGACTTTGGGCCAATCACCAGGAGATGGGGAGTTCTAGTCCCACTTTAAGACATGATAGCCAGTTGAGTGACTCTGGGCCAGTCCTTCTCTCACAGCCCAACCCACCTCACAGGGTTGTTTTTTGTGGGGAAAATAGGAGGAGGAAAGTGTATTGCATATGTTCACTGCCTTGAATTATTTGGAAAAACAATCAAGGCAGAATGCAAACAAATCAGTAAATATCGCCGGTAAAGATACACACACACACACACACACAACCTCCTGACAAACAGCAGGGCTCTTTTGTTTCAAAGGAATGAACATATTGTGAAGCCAAATGCCACCCAGGAGCCACACCTTACAACAACAAGTGGTAGGAAAAAGAACCCTACCGACGAAAGGCACTTTTTAATAGCACAACTCCTCTGACACAAACCCCCCCCAGATTGCAAAGCCAGAGTACGCATCATTTGTACAAGGGCACGAAATGCATTCGCACGCCCGTAGAACTATTGTGTTCAGAACAGCGAACCACAAACAGGGAAGAACGCTGAACGGAGGGAAGGACACTCACAACAGACTTGCAACGGTTCATTTAGTGACCCAGGCTACAACGGGAGCGAAACAAGTGACCTGTGACCGCTTTTCACCCTTAATGCCCGTTGCAGCATCTCCGCGGTCACGTGACCAGAATTCAGACGCTTGGCGACCGACTCATACTTAGGACGGTTGCAGCGTCCCGGGGTCAGGGGATCCCCTTTTGGCGACCGTCTGACAAGCAAAGTCAACGGGGAAGCCGGGTTGACTTAACAACCGTGTTCCCAACTTAACCACCGCCGTGATTCACTTAACGACGGTGGCCAGTAAGGTCGCAAAATGGGGCACAACTCACAACAACCGTCTCACATAGCAGTGGAAATTTTGGCCTCAACTCTAGTCTAATATGCCTCTCTTAAACCGATGGAGCAACAAAATGAGAAAACGTACAGGCGAACGCCGGACCGAGTGAGAAACATCGGCTCCCAAAATATATTTTAATGTCTTCTTTCTTTCGTCCCAACCCTGTTTCCTCCCCCCCCCCAAAGTTGCTTATCTGTCTAACAACTAGAACACAAGTCTCACATTATCCTTCTGTAATAAACGGAGCTGGGTGATCTGGGAAGAAGGGTTGGCATCGCCGGCGCTGACCGGAGATGGCGCAGAAATAATTTGCGTGTTTTTAATTCCAATTCTGGTTTTTAATTTCCAGTTGCAGGGGAGGACGAGGGGGGGCAACGAGCGGAAAACGGCCATCAATCCTGTGCCGAGGGGGCAGCTTATGGTCAGGCAGGGCCCGTTCGGCAACTTAATTAAATTGTTCTCATCTAACCCGCTGTCTTATCTCAAATTGCGAAGGAAGATTTAAAAAAGGAGCCGGGGTCTTTGTGGCTCGCTTGATCGCTGGCGCTCCCTTTGCCAGCTTCTCCGAGTGGAGGGCACCAAGCGGGAGGGGGAGAAGAGACGTGTCGGAAACACAAACGGCGCTTAAGTGTGTAATCGATCAGTGTTAAGCCGTGACGCGCAGCTG